CACAATACTGCCACGTAGGTTTTGGCTTTCTCGGACAATAAATTATATAAAAACATTTTTTTCATGATAAATAATTTTATTTACATATTTTGAAAAAGATACAAACGAATTAATATTTACAGTTATATATACATGTAGTAATAAAAAGAATATTCATTTTGTAATGATGTACTGTATGAATATGTACTATTAACTTTTCTCCTTTAACTTTTCTATGAAGGGTAATCGGAAAAGTGTTCTGGTTATTGATGGTTGCATTAAACATTTCTTAAGAGGATAACTAAACATTGTTCCAAACATTTTTCCGAGTAAAAGACATCCTAAATATAGCATTCAAGCTTCTGGTTTAAGAACGTAAATAAAATCATCAATTCACCAAAATTGTGAAATATTGTCAATGTCCGCAAAGTTCAAGAAATGATAATGGCAGGATATCACCAAAAAAGTCGATAGTGATTGAGGAACATGAATATGGTTACAATGGTATTTAAAAATCTACACACATTTTTCCAAATTGTAGAACATATAATATATCGCACATGTACATCTTTACAACTGGATTAGACTTGCTGACAAGAGCAATTGACAATGGAATTAAAAAAAAAAACATTAAAGACTCTACAACAAAAATGCGAACAAATACAGCACCGATTCTATTTATCATTTTGAACAACACTCAGATACGGGTCACCATTGTCGCCTTCTCGATTATTTGATTTCATTTCAATATAATCGGTTTTAGCAATGAGAGGCGATTGTTTTTCAATATTTCCTTGAACCAGCATTATAGCCTTTTTATTTTCAACGGTCACATGATTTCTGCAATCCTTCACCATACTAGTTAAATTCCCTGTATGTGAGCAACATTCCTTGCTTCCTTCTTCGGGTCTTCCTTCTTTAACTTCACTTTTTGTTTCAAATTCGACAGTATAGTTTTTCCTCTCGTGATTGAACTGAATTTTTACTTCAGCTAGACCCTCAAACAGAACATCATTAGCATTAATGAGCGGAACAGACTCTAAACTCTGATAATGACCGGATTCCCTAATTGGCTTTCTTGGTTGAGATGATCGGTTCTTCTTAGATCTCAAGCATTTTACTACCTTTCTCATAAAGTACGCGCACACCACAAGGAAGAATAAAAGTAGTAGCGATGCCACACCAATATCTATTGCAAACTTGAAGGCATCATACGGTTTCTTTTCATGAGAGAAATTGTCGGTCAAATGTATTTTCTGGAGGGCTATAGAGAGAAAAAGCCAATCGCGCTATCTGCTTTTGTGACATTTGATATAATGTTGTCTGTGACCAAAAGATGGAGTGTTGATGATGATCCTTCTTTTGGTATCACTGGTTTTCTTATATTTTCTGAAATTATAACTTTGTGCAACTAGGTTCTGCAAAAATGCTCATAATTTTATCGCACTCAAAGTTAGCCACAGATCTGTAACTCTCCGAAAAAATATATTGATAGACCGGAGAGCGACAGTGCCACCCATTGAAAAAACTGTATATTTATTGCGCAAAAAAAGGTGCGCTCGGTTCTCGATTTATTTCTCCATGTTTTTAAATATGTAATCTCAAAATATTACTAACCGTATGTTCCTATCACTGTTTCCACGACCAAACATTCCTCATAATTGTTGTTAATAGTCCTCCTGACCCTGATGTTGTAATAATCGGAAATTTCGCTTATTTATACTGCCAGTTTGGTTTTCAAGATAATTCGATCCAATATGCTTCGTTCAGATGTTAACTACGCGAGTACTTGATAGAGGAGAAAGGAACTTTTTTAAAAATATTCCAGTTTAGCGATTGAGGTTAGAATTTTGACGAATTATTTAAGAACCGAGTGCACTTTTTTGTGCGCAATAAATATACAGTTTTTTCAATGGGTGGCACTGTAGCTCTCCGGTCTATCAATATATTTTTTCGGAGAGCTACAGATCTGCAGCTAACTCAAAGTATGCTAATCTATTTCAAGAAGTGAAAAAATCAAACATAGGTTTATTCGTTCGGAAATTGTATACAAATATATACATGAATGCAAGAAAGATAAGCAAAAAAATGTCATTGTATTCAATTGCCTAAATTAAAAAGTTCATTTTCTTACATATCTCAAGTATTGATAATTAATAGTTATCAGGACAATACATGTTCTTAAGAATCATGTTCTTAAGAATCAAGTGAAGGTGTAAACAATTTGAAAGAAGGGTTAGCTTACATACATAGCTCAAAAACTTTTAGATCAAAATATTATTAATAATTTTCTATGTATTATGAATATTACCTTGTTCATTAGTTGTATCAACTGATATAGAGGAAACGACATTTTCTTCACTCAAAGCATCTGTAGACAGCTCTGAAAAGTGAAATAATACACATGAAAAGAAGACTCATTGCGCAAATGTTTGAGATATAAAAATCAAATCCTTTTATAGAAAAATTGCAATGGCCAGAGATATAATTTTAACATGTGAAAATTACCATTGGAACTGATGCATCCAAAAGCCAAATGACAAGCCTGTGCAGCACACCTACATGTCATACTACATTTTTTTTTTTTTTTTGCTAATTTTTTTTTACATTTTGACATGCCCCCTCTGGTAACAAGACGGTAGAATTTTATGTTTCTTACATATATTGTATAATATAGCATTACTCATCAAATATTATGTTTGAACAAAATATCTATCGTAGTATCTGTATAATTTTCTTTAATGTGCTAAAAATTGGCATTTTCCTATATAATCCTATAGTAAATGTACCTGTATTTTGAGACGGTCCCTCAAAAATACCTGGACGGTAGATTTCCCCCAAACTTTGCATGTACACTGAAGTTAATGCAAGTTATAAATGGTATAAAAATGAAGAGTTTCGCTATTGTAGTTTTCACACAATAAAACTATAGTCGGTCCCTTTAAGGACGTGTATTTTTTTATGTCGAAAACAAAACCTGTGCACCTTTGTTTATTGATTGGGTTTAAGAGAAAACAAGACCTATTTCCAAAAAAAAAATCATTGTGAGACTAAACCCAGTAATCAAATTCAGTGTAGCCTTACGTTGTTTGAAATTTTATTTTGTGTCTATCCTAATTAAAAATGTTTCTTCGCCTTTACCGTCTTACCTGGAAGAATTGAAGGGTCTCTATTAATTACATGTATAAAATATCATATCATAAAAAAAATCCACAAAATCTTTCTTGATAATTGAAACTTTTTGATATTAGAATTGAGGTTTTCATCAATTTTTTTTTAAAGCATAAAAGTTAAAGCTAACAATCAGTAAACGATCTTAAAAATCTACAATCAATACTTTGTGAACATGACTTTGCACAGGTTAAGGGGATAGAATTCAAAAGGGAATCAGGTACATGTACTTTTGGAGGTTAAAGAATCCCCTATAAAATTTTAGAATTGACACAATTTCCTGATGCTTATTGGTGAAGTATTGATTTAAATAATCATGTTTCTAGAATTAAGCATAAGTAATTCTCGAACGGGGCGTAAATCAAACAATTATTCAATCGAAGGATGACAGTACATGCATGATAATGTGACTACTGTAGACGTCCTTTTTTCAATGGGGTCATAATTCTACAGAATCTTAATTTCTGTTTAATCCGCTGGTAGAAAATTGCGCGGATTTTCTAGAATGTCACTATATGCCTTACATTTATATTAATTACGCTTGTACAAATTTGTAAAAAAAAAATGTAACCGCGTATATAGCGTTAATTAATACCACACGGAAAAAAGTACTTCTACAGTAATCCAACTAGGTGTTTCAATTTTTTTTTCTTTTTGAGTAAAAAATTCACATTACCGTCTTGTGACACCTTACCTTTCGGCCTTTTTTTATAGTATAAATAGTATCTAAATATCTATTTCCTGCCTTTAGATCCTGCTTTGTCAGCAAGAATTCGTATTTTAAACCGACACACTTTTCACAGAACTTAATGTTAGACATCTTGCTATATATTCACCACAAAGTCATTTCCAAAATAGATCCTGATTTATCCTACAAGGTATTTAGCACCAAAACCACAGATCACAATTTAATTAGTCGGTAAACATACTTTTGGCTTTAAACATAACTGGAAATTAAACGGGTTGACAGAGGATGCTTTGTCATCCATGGCAGCTGATTCCACCAATGATGTTTAAAGAGGCCCTTGTTTTCGTTACTTCTGATATGTGTGTTTTACTAAAGGACATTTGAGCTTGCTTACTGTTCGAAACTGGTATCCATTTAATTCATGCTAAGTCTTTTTCTTTTTTATATAGTATTGGGGAAAATCAAGATTTAAGGAAAAAAAATAATTTTCTATGAATCAAACTGGCATTAGTTTGGACACTCAGGCGCAGATATATATGCAAAGGGAAGCGCTCGTTAAAGGGATATTAATGTGATGATACAAGGCAGCGAATTATTCGAAATATTGAGTTTTCCTTTTTGTGCTTTTGAAACACATAACATTTTAATCTACGGAAGGGTTTTAATTTTAGTGTAAATTAATTTTATGTTAATCAAACAGACTTTCACGTAGGCTTATACAGTATTTAAATGAAGCAATTGCACACTTTATCAAAGATGCCTATCAATCTTACGTCATTTATTTTTTGGAAAAACTTTTTTCTTCCATATTAGTTCAATACGAATCGTTAAATTCTTGTATTCAGTGTTATTTTTGCAATTTTGTTAAAGCTTATTTAATTGTATAAAGTTGTATACTAAGAATCAGTACCTTGACCAATTTAGTTATTCATGTTTTCACAACGAAGGTCTGATTTTTAAAGACAATTCAAGTGTTTACGTTAGTGACAAATATCTAAGCAACTTATGTATTATATAACAACCCTCTCCTCCTAGTCTTGTTTTTTTTCTTCTTCCTCAATCGACATTTAAATAATGACAATTTCGTTCCACTTAACGCCCATGGTTCTCTTCTTTAAAAAATGCATTTCTTGAGTATACAAGAGAAGTGAATATGTTATACTTAATAAAATAAGAATGCATGTGGCATCTTAAAACTGAAACTCTGTACTATTAAGTTATTCAACGTGATTTTAAATTATTCTATATGATACATGGAAGTTGAACAAGAGATCTTTTCCAGAGTATTCACAAAAAATAGAAATAACAGGAAAAAATACATACATCTTTTTCGTGTGCACATGTGTTTGTTCAGGAGATGAATTAGATAGCAATATTGGCATGGCGTATGGTAAAATTTATCCTTTTCATTGCTATAGGTAAGACAATTTGTTCTTAAGATTCAAACTACATTTACTTGCAAGTATTAAAAATACACTTAACGCATAGGCATTGATGTTTAACAATGTAGACAGAAACTTATAAAAAAAAAGACTTGATTGATTGACTGAATATTGTTTAACGTCCCTCTCAAAATTTTTTCAATCATATGGATACGTCACTGTATGCCGGTGAAGGGCTTCAAATTTAGACCTATACTCGGCACTAGGGCCTTTGAGCAGTGAGGGTTCTTTATCGTGCCAACGCCTACCGTGACATGGGACCAACGTCATTAAGGTCATATCCGAAAGACCTTTAGTGCCGAGCACTTGGCGAAGGAACAGTCACTACCTATGTTTACGTCTTAGGTTTGACGCGGCGCCGAGAACGCCATCCTCCCTTTCACGAAGTGATAAGACTTGAAAAAAAAAAGAAGAATGTCTGTTATCATGTATAATGTGTTGGTCAAAAAAGTTAAAATAGCCTTAATATACTGAACAAAACATTTCCGAGATCCACTGAAATTGCTTCTAGTAGATTTTATATGTATTATCAATCATGATATACTAAATATTTAAAATGATATGAATACTGTACAAGACTCCATATGTTCCGGTTTATGAAAATGAAAACGTTCAGTTGATATTCAAAGTGCATGATGGAATCGAAGCCAAAGTATACCTGTTATGGTATAATTTTCATAAACAAACACTCTTATCTGATATTAAGATCTACATTTTAATCATGTGAAAAAATATTAATTACAAAGTCGAATCGCAGCCCTATTTCAGACAAGACACTGAATTAAAATTATGCAGCACGGTTGAGACAACAAAGGAAGTTGGATTTAATTTACTAGGATTTACTAGGACAAAATGACTACCTTATATGGAAGGCAATTTTTAACAAGTGACGATGTCTTCGTCACACCCATTCTCCAATCAGGTGACTGAGTCTCAAAGCATGACAGTCTACTATGTGTTTACGATCCAATGGCGACACATGTTTTTCTTCGGTTTAATGCACAATTATTTAACTTGTCACCGGAAAAAAAACTGTACAGCTTCTTTATCACTCTATAAGACCGAAATTGAAAGAATATATTCTGAAGACAATGCTCCATGCTCATATTTAATATTGAGATTGTTTTAGATGATTAATACACAGCGTACAAACGCTTTGATGTTTGCATGTACATAAAACACTTTCTGATAATATTGAGAGGTTAAATAATAATTGCACCCTTCTCCTGCTGTCTAAAACTAAGGACCTGTATACTTCCTGCCTAAACTATGTACAGGTATATCACGTGAAAAAAACAATGTTTTATTGACACAAAATCACCTACATCTCTTTGAACAATGGTTTATGCCGATGTATTATAAATTGATATAAGTCTTCATAAAGCAAATTGTAAATGTGAGCATAGTAATGAAAGATTATATATCATTTTTTAAAAATATTTCTTTCACAAATATCAAAAAAAAGAATTAAAAATAAATTTCCAAAGGACAATTAAAATTGCCCTATGTTTTCAACACAGCTGGGTACTTGTAGTAGTCCACAATGCAATTTGCGGCTCATTCAGCAGTAGGTAAAGTTAACAGATAGCTAATTTACATGCAAATTTATGCTGACGTCAGAAAATCTCGTGGTGTCGACCTGTTTATACAGCAAATGCTTACTTTGGCATCACACAATAATATCACTTTTTCGAATTTCAACAAAATAAACTATTCTTTATTTTAAACTACTGGATATAGACTATATTAACACTTACAAATCATGTGAGGTTTCCTCGTTTATGAAATCACTCATAGCAAGATAAACATAATTCGCCGATTGCATTTCATTAGTCAACGTTACGTCATTTCGTAAAGACATGTGAGAGATGGACCAAGTAACATGTTTATGTTATACAAGAGTGAATTTTTTAGTCATTTTAAGTATTACTTGCAGACTAAAACAGACGATTTACTTGCATTAAATGTTTATCTATAAATTATATAATACTTTCGTATATTCCCTTGAAAATTTATACTGCTGCAGATGTATTGAAGGTTCATGGATTGCATAAAAATTGATAATCATATATTGCAAACAAGGGCGTGTCATCAATTGATTTTGACAAGCTTTTACGCATAGACTTAAGATATAAAAAGATATCTAAAATATTAATTACAAATGAATTACAGTGGAGCCTCGTTTATCCGGACACTTTGGTTCCTAGTTACATTGTCCGGATATGTGAAGAGTTCGGATATCTGAATTACCTAACTATCTAATGTCGAAAACACACGATTACAACGTCAATCTTCCTATCAGTTATAAAATCGTTTTAGAAATTAGTTATCTAAATTTGTTATTAACTTTTCAACCCACAATTTCTTAATTTTGTTTAGTTGTGTTTATCAAGTGAAAAAAAATTGCTTAAAACAGTTAATATGCTCTATTTTAATATAATGCGCTAAATATTGCGCAATTGAAACTGACTGCTAAATAACGTGACAGCTCTAAGTTACATAAAAATTGAATTTGAACTGAAAAGTATTTGTATAGAATAATAAGGATGGTTTCAGAAGAGCTAGTAGAATTTGAACGTCACGGAAGTTTTACAATTTCTTTATATTCTAGAAATCTAGTAACTGCATTATTTGCAATGATATTATGTTAAAAAATATATACCAATCCAGGCATCCATATTTGTATTATCTGACCTTAATTCACATAAATAAGGTAAATATAGTGTTCTTCTGTAAAAAAAATATATATATATAACATATTTTTTACATTTTAGAACAATTGTCTGGAATCATCGCTAATTCTTCTTACGACTGTCAAAAATATGCGGTGGATCTTTGCTTGCTGTCTTCTTTTCCTGGTTGGTAAAATCAAGTAAATTTTAACCCTCTATTTTGTACAATTAATGTTACTTTAAATTATCTATTTGTGTTGTTTTTCTACAGTCAGCTGATTCATCAAAAAACACAAAATCTTGTCCAGAGTCGACAAACACTATTAAGTATGTACCCTCCTGTCCAACGACAGAGGAAGATTGGAATTTACGAGCAAAGGCGAAGAATTGTTCGTCTGTAAAACAGAAATGTACATCGGCTAAAGATTTTGTTTATCACTGTGTCATAAACAGCTATGCCAATTCAACCATTGAAGTTTGTGCTCCGTCAGTCTCCATCATTGGTAATCTAAGTTTTTATATTTTGTTCAGACATTTTAATGCCCTTTTAAAATAAATTATATTATGTAGGTGTTTTTAAATCAATATTTTGAACGTTAAGTTCTGCACAGTGCAAGACAAAAAAAAAGTTTTACAGCTAACGTGATTAACATACTTGTTGTTTATAAAGCATTGCATATTATTCAATTGCATGAATTGTATGGAATGTGTACTCGGGAAATAGCAAATTTATGGTTCTCAAAGGGAGAAAAAAGTTTTTTGCCGAGGGGAGCCATAAATTTGTTTTTTCCCGAGTCCCCATTCCGTGACTGATTTATTATACCGAATTATACATAGGCGAAATCTTAATTATTTTTACCAATATTCCGACGTGTTTTAAGGCATAATCCCAAATGTATGTGGTTTAAACGAGTGTTTGACAACTAATGTATCGTGTCCGAGACCAATAAAATTATTTTGAAAAGGTATTTTCACTGACATTTCGAAATATTATCGTTGTCTTCATTTTGCAATATTTACATTCGCTGTATTTTTCTACTAAGCCAACTGTGAAATTGATTTGAATGTCATTTTCGTGTATACCCACACGTAGAGATAAACACGGTGAATCCAAGGGGGTAGCCCTGTTTTTTCAGGGAGTATTGTCCTCAGATGAGAATTCAGTCAATCAATTTAATAATTTCAATAATTTACTACGTAATGCCATTATGCACCTCCTATTTTACTTTCTTATCTGACACTTTATTCGCGTCTCCCAGAGCAAAACATGGATTTTGCTATTATAATAATATGGGAGTTGAGGGAACATTAAGTGAGCTCAGTGTTCACAGTTGTATGTGATAGCAACATGTGTATCTTTTTGTCATATTGTAAACAAAATTTCTGCAAAATGGTGCTACATGTATCATGATGTATAATATAATCAAAGTCATAACAAAAACGGGAATGTAAAATCGCTTGAAAAGGTTAATAAAGCGTAAACTGCCCCATATTATGTTATATCGTATAGCATAAGTTGAAATAAGCTTCATTCCTTATAATTTAATTCAGTGTAGACAACGAGACAATTTTCCCCTTAGAATAAGGCATCACATTGATTAAATTTCAAAAGTAACGTTAAGCGTAGTAATACGTTTTCGACGTAACTCATTGTGACGTAGGCAAGTTATGTTATGCAAAATGGAAAAAAAAAACCTTTTAGCCAATCAAATGATGTGTTACTCGTAAAATTAAATAAGATATAAAATCTGAAATACTTTAAATACTAGGAGGATCTATGCAGACTTCAAAATACTATATTTTTAATCCACTGCGGTCTCAAATAGATATGAGGTCAAAATTAAAATAATTTAAATTCATTATTTCCATTTTCGTCAGTATAAAATGTATTTTACGTCGATATCTTTTTAAATAGGACATAGCTGTGTGGAGTTTAATATGCGAGGAAGTTTGATTCAGGAGAGTCCATACAACATGTATAATTGTAAATATCCACAAAGTTGTCCATTTCGCTACAATTCTACGGATGTCTACAAATGTAAATATCATTTTACGACAATCTAAAATTAGTTTATATCGATTTATAGCGTAAACCTTTCATATAAAATTTCATATGGGTTACTTAGTTACATTTTTTTTTCATTTACAGATCAATCATGTTTTGCGATATCAAAACTTCAAGATAAAGAAAACTGTTCCCATTGCATTGATGTGCTAGGTATCCAGAGGTATGTTTTTATCATTTACGAAAGATTTCTTGCTTTCCGAAATTATATGTTTGAAAATGTTTTGTCCTCAAGATGATCATGAATACCCCCACCCCCTCCGCAAAAAAAAAAAAAAAAAAAATAGAGGGGCTTAAGTTATCTAAACTAATGCTAGGTCATAGCTTTACTCAATTTGAAAACTCGAAAATGTAATATTTTTATAGATTAAAGCATTCCTAGAAACAGATTGGAAGCTTATCTTGAAAATGTTTGTATATTAAAAGATATTATTTGTTAGATGTGGATTCTTTTATATGGCGAATGAAGAATGAGTGAAGCTCCGCAGTCAAAACAGTTTCTTTACGGAGATTTCGCGCTTTCACTTGCGTAGGTCTCAGGTAACTTTTAAAATCGCCGACAAAGTATCCTTGGACGAGTCCACTGGTTATTCTCAAAGGTGATGCATGGTCACAAAATGTATGGCTGTGCCCCAAAACTGAAATTGCTTTCCGCGTGCCTGCAAATGATGTGTACTTTGAGTGATAGCAATATAATAGGACAAACATAATGTTATAAATTAATTCTCCCTCATCCGTTTTTTTTTATTTAAAAAAATCGGCCAAAATTTTCAGTTTCATTGCTTTGTTAACGGAACCTTTAAAACTTTGGATTCGTACGGAAGATTGTATCAGTTTTTGTTTTGAGCATGTCGCATAGCTAGATCCAATCCGAGTAGTCACGTGGATTTTTTGGAACCTAAAGTCCCTCCCCTCTCCACTTTGAAAAACTTTGCTACAGGTTTGTAACAATCTATTTAGATTGCGGTGTATTAAATGTGATGAACGTCATTAAGCAAAAAAAGTATATAATTTGAAGTAGGTAAATAATTGTCTGCATAAAAATAATGTTTTAATAAATTAAGAAACGGCCAATTTGCTCCGTAGATATTCCTGAAAGTAAGTAACGTAAATACATTTTTAAAAAGTAGTACGATAAATTTAATATATTTAATATTCTAAATTCAATACATGTCTATAAATTTTGTTTCCTAGTTCAACAGAAGATTAATTAAACTCCATGTCCCTCATCTTATACCATTTTAGGATATTAATGACTCTTCTAAGTTGACTTTCTATAGATTAAGTATTTCTGACGTTTTGTCAGTATATACTTGTATATACATGTCATTATTATCCATCCAGTCTTATTTTAGATAAATTCTTACGGTGTTAGCTATACCTCACATGCATATATAATGTTCAATCAAGGGCAGGTAAGTGTAAATTCTCCATATTTGCAACACTGCATGGACAAAAATCATGAAATTAGTACAGTGGACCTTCAGATATCCGGACGCCAGATATCCGGATGCTTCAGTATCCGGACGATTTTTCATCGGAACGAAATTTTTAAATGCTGTGTTGTCTTGTTTAATTGGTGATTCAGATATCCGGATGCTTCACATATCCGGACAAATGGACTGGGAGCCAAAGCGTCCGGATAAATGAGGGTCCACTGTAAATGTATTACAGTCTAAAATAATTTTTAACATTTAAATTGGGTGTCTTATTGACAGACCGCTAAAAAATATAAAGGTAAAATTAGAAAAAGATTTAAAAGCAACATAAGGGACCAAAAAGACCCCAAACACAGAATTCAGTGCAGTCATAATGGAAAGCTTTCCAGGTTACATGTATTCGTTGAAAGAAAATTTTACTTCCAATTCTGTGACATAAATGAATCCAAAGGAATGAACTGGAAAACCAAACTTGTGTCATCAATGATTACTTTGAACGATCAATCAAGTTTGATTTTTTTATGTATAAAATGACAAAAAATGAACTGTTCTGAACAAAGTATGCATACATGTATGTCCAATGGCATTCAAACATGTCTTTCTTTGTAAGACAAATCGATTTAGTTTCATGACATTTTATTCATTAACAAATATTTACATTGGCTGTGTTTTTCTAGTGAGTCAACAGGGAAATTGATTTGAATATCATTTTCGTGTATACTCAGGCGTAGAAATATACACGGAGAAACGGGCTTTTGCGTGACGTCACAATAAGGGTACAGCGACGTTAGTGAAAGTATAATGATATGAGGCAGAGAGAACTTCAAATATTGAGTATATTTTTGGTGCTTCCAAACATGTAAAATGTAAAGATAAGGAATGTTTTTAATTTTAGTGTGAATTAATAGTGTGTGAATCACACAGACTTGCTCGAAGACATACTTTTCATGAAGCGCTAACACGCTTCATGAAATATGCCTAGGTGTCAAGTCTGTGTAGTTCACACACTAAACTCACGCAAAACTTTAAAAACTCCTTAAGTAATAACCAAAATGTTCAAATTTTCGGTTGGGGGATGTGGCATTCTTTCATATACAGAATCCTTTAAAAAATTAGAAAGTCAGGAAAGTGTTTGGTAGAAATTAGATCTGTTTGATGAATTGCTCTCCACTATTCTTTGTTAAGGTTGATTTTCCTTCCTTCCAGGAATCAAGTCGAAGACACTTCTAGTTGTAACGAAATGATATGGCAGATAGTCGCTTTGATTGCCACAATCATAATTGTTACTATTCTGGCAATTTGGTTTTACATTTATCGAAATGTCAGGAGTAGAGGTAAGAATGTCTCTAATTATTTTTATTGCTAGGATTCGAAACACATGAATTCCATATTTTGTAAATAAATAATAATTAAATAATATTTTTTTTTCGCGATTAACCTCTCCATCAGATTTTTTTCTATAATATCATGAACTAGCTTCATAAATATCAATAATGAGAACTGTGTTTTGATACTAAATTCACAAAGTTAATAAAATATTTGTTATAGCTGGAGTTATAGGCATTGACATGCATAATTTCCCATCTTTATTAATTTTTTAAAAGATAATACGTTATTCGTAGCACAATCAAAGTGCTAAACACTGTCAATGCTGTACAGGTAAAGTTTATAATTGCGTCAGGTACATGTAAATAAGTGTAAGCACCCAGAGTTTTATATTATTTTATTTATTTATTTTAAAGGAAAAGAAGAGGGTTTCATTGTAAACTGGAAGCCTGAGAACGAATACATGGAACTAAATGAAGGGCAAACATGTAAATTTTTTAAACTCCATATTGAATATTTGGGATTTATTGTGTTTGCCTTCAGTGTCTGTACGAGGGTTGTCTAAAAAATTCGTGGACAATGACGTTTTTGACAAAATAATTGGTTCTATATGCATCAATTGTATATCAAAATATTTCTCATGAAAAACCAAGTCAGAGTGGTTTGAATTTTATTGAGGAAATTTAATATTTTTGTAAAAATCAAGGTCTTTAAAGATCGCAGATTGTCCGCACGGATCAGTCTGACTTTAAGCTAATTTCATCAGAACGTTAAACATTTGGATTTTGATTTAACACATGTTCATGGACACACACTTCAAATTTTTTAAGGTGCAATGCACTTCCAAGTGCTATCAATAATCGTTAAGTATAGATTATAATTTATTTCATTTTAAAAATTCAAAACAATGCACAAAAATTACGGATGTTATCTATATAAACAGTTTGTATACACAAACTGCACACCCCAGTCCGACGCTGCGCTAGATTTATAACAACATCATGAATAGAAATCTCCATTTTCAGTAAATTACATGTGTTTTTAAATTCTTGTAGTGTCTTCGAATTTGTACACACAGTTGGAAAACCGTATATACCAATCTGAAATTGATACACTAAATGTATTTCAATAATGTTCAGTTGGTTTAACAAATATTTTGTCTCTTGCGTCGTTTCAACCGTATAAAAACTAATTTTTTGATCGTACGCTGCCCCGTGCGAACGGCCGACGTCGCTTTTTTTTTCGAGTTTTGACACCTATTTGTCAGGGTCTTTGTTTTGTATTTCTAATGTCTATATAGTGAGTGATACTAGAGATATCAGAAAATGATTAAAGCCTCTTCATTTGTGTTTCATAAAAATTTTATTAATTTTTGACTTGTCGTATATAAAAAATTGGTCCGTGCGTACTATCCGCGACCTTTATATACCCCGATCTTTACAGAAATATTAGGTTCCATCAATAAAAATTAAATCATTCTGATTTGTTTTTTTTTTTCATAAGAAATATTTTGATATAGAAAAGATTCATATAGAACCATTTATTTTCATAAAAACGTCATTGTCCACGAACTTTTTAGACCACCCTTGTATGTCTGTTTGTTTGTCTGTCAATCTATTTGTCTTTTAATCTTCAAAATCTTCTGGCTATTCCTTTTATATTTCATCTATCAAAGGTGCATTTCATGTGCCAAGATCTTTTTCTGATTACCTCCAAATTGGACCTCTGGCTTTGAGCTTGGAGTTTGACCCACTTTTACACCAAAAATGAATTCCAAACTTTAAACTTGGTCATAATTTTTGAACAGTTGGTGTTAGGGCTTTCATACTACGCATGTATATCTATTGTGACAAGTCCTGGAATTGATATTTTTATCCTTTTGACATTGACCTTAAGGTTTGACCCGCTCAGAAAAAAAGCTAACTTTGGACATAAGTTTTATGAAATAAGCACTAGGGCTTTCATTTTCCACAGTTTGTAAAAAGATAAAAGGAACACCTTTAGATACCAAAACTTTTGATATTATGACCCCTTGGCATAGAAGTTTGACTCATATTTGAGAAACTTTCACCATCGGCTGACAAATGGGGGTATCAGTGTTTCACAGGCAAATATTGTTTTACATAAAGATGGACGCGTGTTCATGAATAATTAATGGTACTACATGTACATTAAGTTGTCTTTTGCATAACTGTTGAAATGTTCAGCAATGTAAAGTCGTGGAATTTCTTACAGGTAAAGAGATTGATTCCCAATCAAAGCATTGTGAAACCGAATTTGTGTCCTCAGAGTCTTCATTGACGAAAGGTTATCTTTTGTTCATATTTGATATATCCGATGTATTGCCCAAAATTAAAATGAAAAAGCATTCTAAAGGTATTGCATAAGCAGTACCAGTTCTCTACCGAGTACCGACCAGTAAAATCTGGTTCACACTATCAATTGAAAATGCTACAACTCCATCAAAAATCATTGAAAAGTCGAATGAAATCTAAACCCTACATCTTTTAAAGTTTTCTTTCAAAGGGTGGTTCCCTGGGGATAACAAAGAAAAACTACATTGTACATTGTAATTAGGGATAAGAAATCTTTTTGATATAAACGATTTAAATAAATATGAATTTGCCTTGTCTTCTCATGCCCAGCAATCGAAGATTTGGCAGTTATTCCGTATGTAGCATTAACCCTAGCTAGCTCATAAATTTTGATTGGGTAAGGCTATAATTTCTTTCATATTTAACTGAAGTTTTCATTTCATTGGATACAAAAAAATGTTAGCCTTTTGATCTAGATCTTTGGAGTATTACATGAATTTGAGAAAATTCAACACCCATTTTAGATGCCATGAGGGGGCATCAGATTTTACAAACACGTCTGTTTTTATATCTGATCATTTTTTGTCATAAATACATGTATTACTATTATTATAATTATATATCTTTGATAACATATTTTACTTTTTTGTGATTTTTCAATTTTTTTTTTTCATTCTCGCCAATGGGTGCGATCACAATTCTTCCATTGGTACAGATATCGATTTGCCATTGGTTTGTCTTTGACACCAATGTAGAACAATGGTGCAATTGGTTACCTTCAAATTGTGAATCGCATATTGGTAAACCAATGACAAAACAACCAAAGGCTGTGCCAATGACTATTACAACTGAATAGTGGTATCACTTCGTTACTTATAGTAACCAGTGAAAAGCAGTGGTTAACAACGGCAAATGTTGAGTTTTTCACCGTTTTCAAGAAACAGCAAATCTAATAAGAAACTTGTTTGTTACACTGCTCAAACAAAATAAAATTATTTTTATGGAAATTGATTTATATGAAAACTTGTCTTCAGGTGATTCTTTTTTTTTTTGTCAAATGAGTGATCATTTGTTTGAAATTCGTAATACTATGTAGAGATAACACTATTCTCCCTTGAATTGTAGTAGAATTCATCTGAAGTGTTATTACTAGTGAGGAAATTTCACGGTTATCATGCTAACAGGAACAGTCCAGGTAGCCATCTTAGTTGTGACCCTAATGATCTTCGTTACCAATCTTCCATATAATTATGTGGTTGGCCTGCAAAATAGGTATCTTATAAAAGTTACCAATAGTAAACATTGGTACCGAGGTTTTGCCATTGGTAAATTACACCACCAATATCAACCAATGGGAGAATTGTCAACGCACTCAATGTGTATTCGACATTGCTGTTTGTTATATTTTTCAAACATTTCTGTCATGATTTCAGATACATGTTCAAAACATGAAGAACCCCATTGTTGCTTTTATTCTGTATTCATGCAAAAGTACTAATTATTGTAATTTCTCTTTATTTTCTTTTTCAAGATATACAGAATGGTGTCGATGACAGATATATTGTTTCCATAGAAATTAGCAATTCGTACTTTGGTTGGGCTACTCAAGATCTTAAAGATAGGAGACATATAAATGTAAAAGATGAAGGCAGGAAGGATAATCCAACAAGAAAACAACCAACATCTATTCTTCTTGAGAAAGACGAAGATCTGTTTGGCTACGAAGCTCTGCAGTCCTATATCAAGAAAACAAGAGAATGTACTTTTTATCATAAAATGGAAAAAATTGCTCTGGTAAAAGAAGCATTTCAGAAAGGGAGAGGGAAATGGGGATCAAGATCCGTGTTGTTAGAAGATTATCAGCTCTCTATTATGATTAACATTAAAACATTTATGAAATGCCATTTACCAATACCTCCTTAGCTCAACTGAGTTAAAAGCTCGCAAGCTTTTATGATTATTAGTTGTCCGTCTGTTATCCTCTGTAAACTCTGTAAACTTATATTTTTATCTTCTCAAGAACCATTGGGCCAATTTTAACCAGTGTTGGTACAATGCATTCATGAGATAATTGTTTAAATTGTAGATAAAAGTAAAAGACTGCTTCTTTTCCAAAAGGAGATTATCAAAAAGACAAAAATAGGGGTGGTTCACATACATAGATTTTAAATGGTTTACATCATATCACTCATAGTCCAGGTTTGCACACAAGGAAATCAAATATTTACGTTTGTTTTATAAGACAAATCATCGAAAAATGTCTCAAAAACCAATGGCCAAAAAACTGATATGGAAACTTACTGAGATAGCAAAATTTATATAAAAAATTTAAATGGCCACCTTGATAGAATGGGGCTACAATAGGGCTGTACAATTTGTACATAAAAATGTACATAAATTTTTATAGTAAAAAAATCTTTTCCACAAAAAACACCTGGCCAAAATAGCATACAATTTTGTGGGAGCTTTAAGAGATTGGGAAGATTATAAGTTTTTATTATAAACATTTACTTCTAAGAAAAGTTGGGCCGTAATAGGGATGAGGAAATCACAATAAATTATATGGGAACACTTTTTAATTTTTATTTGTAAAAACCAGCGACTAGAAAAAACTGAACGTGATGTGGAGGCTTTTTGAGGTTGTTAAGAGTCTAAAATGTTAAAATCACGACCCCCGGAGATAGGGTTGGGCCACAGTGGATTGATATATGTAGAATTTATTTTTAATCTTCCTTAGAACTACTGGTCCACAAATCCTGAAAATAATGTGAAATATTCTAGAGGTAGTGTACCATATGATTTGTAAATCATGACCAGAGGGACTATTTGGAACAACAATAGGCCTGGGAAACAAGATATCACAAGGGGATAATTTTATGAAAAACAGCAGAACAGGAAGTGACTCATGTGAGCGTTGTAGCAAATAAACTTTTTGTTTCCGTTTATAGGTTTGTGTTAATACTTTCAGTACTATGATAAATGATATTGATGCTTGATTCAGCTGACATTTCATACAAATAATCTACTAGTATTGTTGTGTCTTTTCTGTAGGCAAATACCGGTAGTGAAATGTGTCCTAAACGTATCTATAGAAAAATACTAAACTACATTGCTGATCAAGTTTTTGATGAAGCAAATCATGAGTCAAAAGAGTGTGCACGAAAACCAAAAGATATTGAATTTATCATTACTATCCCAAGTTATTGGAAAGATGAGGATTTGGGAAGAATACTTGAAGATTCCGTTAAAAAATCAAAGGTTATTTCATTTTCACATCAAAAGTTTCAAAAATAAAACTAGAATATGTAAAAATGATAAAATATTAATGCCATCGATCGCTATATTCCCCATAATATTTAAAAGTATCTAAAATTGTAAAAAAAAAAATATAATTGCTTCTTATTTAATTGCTTCTTTTGTAGCGCAGCTGAGCCGGAGGCTCAGATGAGTTTTCTGATCAAAATTTGACCGTTGTCTGTCGTTGTTGTCGTTGTTGTCGTCGTCATTCTGAACTTTTTATTTTCATCTTCTTCTCAAGAACCACTCGACGACCAATTTAACCAAACTTGGCAAACAGTATCCTTGGGTAAAGGGGATTCAGGTTTGTTCAAAAAAAGGTCATGCCCTCATCCAAGGGGAGATAATTCAGAAATAGTGAAAATTTGATGGTGTTTCCTCAAGAACAGCAAACCCAAGATTGCTCATAATTAAATGGAAACAACCTCTGTAAATGCAAAATTATGTTTGTTCAAAACATGACTCCCGGTGGTAGAATTGAGACACATTGGGGGATCAAAATTTTACATAGGAATACATAAGAAAAATCTTTAATACAGAAAAAAAAATTCTCAGGAACAGCAAAGCCTTATTTGGTCATAGTTACATGGAAGTATCCTCTGGTAGTGTGGATTCAAATTTGTTCAAATCATCACCCCAGGGCACGGTTGGGGCCATAATTGGTGATCATATTGGAATTATAGAAAAAAATCTTTAAAATCTTTCTTCTCAAAAACAACAAAGCCATGATTGGTCATACATGTAGTTATATGGAATCATCCAAGTTTGTTCAAAACATGATCCCCCGGGAGAGCCACAATGGATGAATAACATTTTACGTAGGAATACATGAAAAAAGACTTAAAATTCTTCACAAAAACAACAAAGCCATGATTACGTTACGTGTAATCATCAAAATAAAAGCATCAAAATGGTAATGTGAATTTAAACTTGTTTATATTGTGAGAATTAGGAGAAAAGAGGAGCCATTAGAGTAAAAGGATTATAAAGGCTTTATCAATAAAAATTTTCATCCTGAAAACAACAAAGCCATTATGTGTCATATTAATTCAAAAACATCCTTAGGAAGTGTAGATTTAAGTTTGTTCAAATACCCCACCCCCTCCCTTGAATACTGAACTGAGATAACCTTTTACCCAGCCAGTTGCTCAGGTTAGCGATGTGGCCCCTTAACCTTTTGTTTATAAAGACTTTTTACTGTAGTTTCATACATATATGTTTAAAAAAACATTTCTTGTGCAGGTCAAATATCCTATCAGTATGTCTTATTATTTGCAATTATAATTTTTAACAATATTAAATGCATTTATATGCCTGGAAATCAAATAGATAAATAAAGAGAGTGCTCGATGGAAACTGGTGACCAAAGCTGAGGTGGTGTCTCCTTTCTTACATGAAGTCAAGGCGGATGTTTTATGTCAGAACTTTAATGTCGACCATTTATCATTTGAGGAGGGAACAAAATATGCTATTCTAGATATAGGCTCTAGTGAGTAGATGATTTTTATTTTCATAATTATTTATCCAGAACAATAAAATACTGCATGGTTTTATTATACCCATCGCTTGAAAAGTGGGCGGGTATCTCCTTACCTTTATCTGTGAGTTTGCCCGTCCGTCTATCACTATTTTGGGTATCAATTTCATATCTGCAATTGATATATATCATACCACTATATGAAATTTTATGAGACTTTTACAGAATCCTTGTTACATGTAAATACTGAAATATATGGTGATAAAAACAGTATTTAAAGTCAAAAATCCATTAAACATCAACAGATAGGAGCGGGGAAAACAAGGACCTCCAAAAAATGAGAACTGGGATCAGGTGCCATGAAGGAATGAGTACCCCCTGTAGTCAGGCCACTCCCGTCATGTGCTCCTTCTCAATATTAGGAATTAATGGGGAAAACCTGTACTTAATTGCGTGCTTAGATAAAAATAATGACCTAATAATCAGAACAAAAAACACAAGTGTTGTATTACTTCTTTAACTGACACTTATTTCGGCTCTCCCAGAGCAAATAGGGATCTTGCCATTATAATCCTATGGGGCGGTGTGTAATATTGAATTGGCTTGGTGCTCACGGTGCCATTTGTATCTGATATTGTCACCTTTCTATTTGACTTTTGCAGTATGCTTTATAGGACTTTCATTTCTATTAACTGTTCGTTTTTAGCCCCTGTAATTTATTCTTCTGGGGTATATAGCTTTTGCCCTATCAGTCCGTTCGTCTCTCTGTATCTAACCTTCGACTAAACTGTTTTACAAGGTCACAGTGTTACACAAACTTCTTTTCACAAGAACCCATGCATCAACTGTACAATAATGTTTCGCAAAAAAATATATATATCCTATGCCATAAACAAATTAACTGGATACTTCTTAAATACACATTAATTTATAAACTGTACTTTCAGCTGCCTGTGAACTGACAATTCTTGTTTCAAGTAAAAAAGGGCCAGACTGTGTATGTGGTAAACCATATCGAAAAAAATGGGGGGAAGGGGTCGATCAATCATTTTCCAATATGATTAATATCATAATTGGAGATGATGAGATGAACACATTTCAGATGGACAACAGTGGAGAGTTTCAAAAATTATTTTTCTCCTTTGAAAGTTTAAAGACCAAAAAATCCTCATTCAAATCGAGTAATTTGGACGGTGTAGAATTGCTCTTGCCCACTGCTTTGCACAGCTTGATACGGGAAAAGAAAATCGATGTAAAGACATCAATAGAAAAAAATGTCAATAAAACGAAAATTTCTGCCGATTTGATTTCATGGATAGATAGCGGCGATAAAAGTTGCTTTCGTTTGAAAGTTAAAGCGATGGAAGCATTATTTAAACAAATGTTGGATGACATAGATAAAACAATCGAAGACCATTTTTCACAGGACAAAAACTGTGAAATGAAATGTGTGTGCGTAATTGGTGGATATGCAAATTGTAAATTGGTGCAAAAAAAGGTGCGAGAAAAATTTAAACTGCGAACAGTTGTAATACCAAAGAATGCAGATCTTGTTGTTGCCAAAGGTGCAGTGTATTATGGATATAAGTATTGTGGCAAATAGACGTATATTTCTGATAAATATCTATCATTCTCCTATGATATTGTTATTTAGACATTATGTATAATGCATAAACTATAGGTCGTTTAACACTTGAATTCCGATTCTAACCAAAGATGTCTCAATAACCATCATCATTATATTAAAACATATTCTATTTTTACCTTTGTAGATTATTCTTTTTGTGTACTCATGATTTACATGTAATAAAAAAGAAAGTTAAATTGAAGATCACTTGTAACTAATAGTGATGTATTTTTTAAGCCAAAATTGAACTTCAATATATTTTAAACTATTTAGCTACTATTCAAAGAGTTATCAAAACGACACGGGCTTATAGTTACTTTGAAAGAGCAGGAGCCACTTTGGGCATTATTTGGTCTTGAGAATTTCTAAAAAATCAAAACTGCTCAGTCTAGGTTGCAAATGCAGTATTTATCACTTGGAGTGTTGGTGACCATGTATCTATTAATCGTGACGTAATTTCACATCTAGTCAATGTATTGTGACGTCATAAAATGCGTCATTTTCCCCATATCCTGTAAATTCCTTTGAAAATGACCTAATTTTGAAGCATTTTTTAAATATTTCTTATAGAGCACAACCTCTGATCCTAAATATGCAAATACATAATAAAAGCTCTGTTTCTGAAGATCAGAAAACATGTTTTATTTTTTGGATCGTGGGTTGTGCTCATATTTTAATTCTTTGCAGAAGGAAGTCAAATACGCATGCTTTCTGCAAATTTCAAGAACATTGCAATTTCTCAAAGCCTGTTTTCCAATATGTGGATTCTCAAAACGAAATTTTATTATAGAAAATAAAAGCACCAAGTGTCTACTTTATTTTGATGTATGAAATGGGAAAGAGGGTGATAGTTAATTAATTGGCATAAGTACATGGATATTTTATGCAGAAGATTGCTCTTGCTCTTTGACCTGCTCCGAAAATTTTAACTTAAATCACTTAATCTAGAATTTGAAGCAATTCAAAGCTTGTCTGCCAGTTTCTATCGCTAAGAGAATTATCCACGCAGGTTTTTTTTCGGCTATATATCTGAATGTTGGAAAATGCTTAAAAATTTTTAATCTGGTCATATATCTACATATTGTTGGTCAAATCCTGTATCTAGCGTTCGAAGCTTGACTGCCATTCCCTATCCCCAGAACATTATCCATGCGAGTTTTTTTCGGCTTTAGGTCTGAAAGTTATTTTGGGATGGACCTGATACGTAACCTTTAACCTGGTCACTCATCTGGAAATAAAGCTTAGATCCACGATCTAAATCAAATATATTATCGTCCATTACTTGGTGAATCATACCTGCTAGTTTGGTCTAGGTAGAGCATAATTAGTTCCTTTGGGATTTCTAATATTTTAATTCAGTCATTCAACTGAAATATGTATGTAAGATCCAGCATCCAATGCAAGTATGGAACGTGTATGTCTCTTACCATACACATCAGCCAAGAAAATTAAGTCCAATTAGGGCTACATGTAATAGTTACTTGTTTAATTTGGAATTGACCTGCTCCAGAAACTAGAAGCGAGAGCTAACGCAGACGTATAGCATAATCTTATCTTGACGGAGGCGCACTGCTTAAGTCCATCCCTTCTCAATCGACCAGACCCAACCTGACACCTAAGCAGTCCCAGAAAGCAGACCCCGGGACCGCTCTGGGACCGCTTTGGGACTGCTCTGGGACTCCTCTAAAAAGCAGAACCAGCAGACCCCGGGACTGCTTCTGGGACTGCTTTGGTCACTCATCTGTGAAAAAAGGTTATGAGTGATATCATTGGTCCACCCTCTTGTGTATTCTGAATTTGCAGCCCCCTGTTGTTTTGTTTACTTGCAGCAGAGATGAGTTTGAACAGTTTAAAAAGCAAGGATTTCTTACAATATTTTAAAAAGTAGAGATTATTATAGTTAAATAATATGTATTGAGACTGTATACATGTATATACACAAATGTAGTTTAGAATAATTTTTTTTTAAATAAAGTTGTTAAATAGGGAAGTCAGGAGAAAATTATTTTTTCCCTAAATATATGATACGGTTTATGAGAAAAAATATCTACATGAAGGCCTTTTTATTACCGGGGAATTTAATGTAAAATTTATTACGTGTACTACAAATTTGCATTGGCTCTATTTGAAAATAATTACAATTAAATATTAGATTTTTAATTGAAAAAGGTACATGTTTTTCGAGTACCACACTAAAAAAAGAAAAAAGAATATCCAATGTAACCCTCAAATATAAAATCTAACATTTTATTAAATGACCATGAAATAAAATTAATAGATTAATGATACAACTCTTTCGTAACATAAACAATTTTGATAATCATTGGGGAATTTATTAATGAATTACCGGTATTTTTTAATTGATAAACAAGCTAATGAAAGAGTACATCAATTTTAAGAATAAACAGTTGAAAATACAGGGAATTGCGATTCATTTCATTTTTGTTTTGCTTCTGTTTACCTGGTCGATTAATGTGTACGATAAGATCTATTTAAAGCTAATTCTGGTGGAAAAAAAATAATTCACTTTTAATTTTCTGTATAAAAAGTAAACATGGGAAACAGTATCAATCAATGAAAATAAAGAAATCGAATTTTTAATATACCAGATAATTGTAATTTATTTTAATCAAAAAATAATAAATTTTAATTTAAATTAATTTTAAGTTAATTACGTATTGTCAAGAATGTCACTCACTAATGAAAGTACAAGGTTAACTGAGAATCGTAATATCAATGCAGTTTGTGATTTCTGAAAACTATGTTTTTAAAAACTAACAAACTAATATTTAATTCTTAGTTCAAAGCCCCTGTCAAACTATCGCGCTTACAGCTGTGATTCATTACGAATTATTCAAAGTACTGAAAGTACTGAAAAACGGTTAGCATGCTTTCATCTAATATGTACCGAAAAAAGTGCATGAAATGATGATATTTAAGTATGCATATCTTTTTTCAATGTAATCAGAGAAAAAAAACAGACATTCTGTTTTTGTAATACTTTACTTAATAGTTAAGCCAATAACATTTCAAACTGATGTCACAGATGGATGCAATCTAATTAAAATTAGATGTTCTGTATCCGCTACTGCTTCTCCAACATCTAACAACATCCTATTTGGGGTCATGTAAGAGTGAATCTTCGATTAGCCAAATAAAATGGTTTCTTCTAAATCTTGGCTAATAGTTCAGATGGGTTTCTTGTTTTCACTACCGAACCAAAACACCCGAGGAGTTTTGTAGTAAACAAAATATGCATTGCATAAGCTGTATTATGTATGACGTGTGGGTATCTTGTATAGTTTGGGCTCTTTCGTTTGCATTATTCACGTTCAGATGCCAGACTGCAGACTATACATGAAATTGATTCCAAAATTACTTTAATTCGACGTAAGACAGTATCAATAATGATGATATATAGCCGTGGAATTAATTTGAGAATTGTTTACCGAGGCTTTAATCTACATGGCCAAAGTGTTTGTGTTTACCAGTACATGTATTCATAATCGAAAGGTCGCTCTGATGTAACCCCGAATGGGATGTTAGATGTTTGAGAAGCAGTAGCGGATTTGGAACATTTAAATAAATTTTAATAAGATTGAAATGCATGTTTCAAAATTTAAACATGAGATTTCTTCAGTTTGAAAGACAGGAAGTGCATTTTTAAAAGTTCTCTCTCTGTGGCATCCAATCGTTCTCTGGATGAAAACAATTATGTTGATGTTGAAAATTTAAATGTCTTTCATGCTCTATTGAATCTGAAGTTAAGTAATTGTAAAGCCTACTATAGCAAACAACTAAATAAATGACAAATTAAATTCTTTAGATTAATGGATTTGGAGTAGTGTAGATCTACAGCTGGCTAGTCAGAGAAAAAAGGATAACTGAGCAGAGACTTTGTAAATGAATTGATATCAGAGAACTCCAGTTATGTAGGCTCATCGCGGGTATAACCTGTCAACGATGGATGCTTACTTCTTCTAGGCACCGGATCCCACCTCGAACTTTCAGGAGTCAGCTTTTCTTCTCAAATCGATCATTGATCATTCTGTATTTTGATACAGATACTGAACACTTCCGTTTAGCAATATTATGAACTACTACTTCTACGGGAAGACTGGCGAGTAAATAAGATTATCAAGCTTTATGAAATGTACTTTATTGACTTTTCAAACAAGTAAATGTTCGAATAAAGTAAATGGTATATGATGTATGTATCATTTAAGAGAACTCTTCACAATATGTCTAGATAAGGACATATAAGGACATATAATGTGCATTTGCCATATACTCTTCATGCAATATTGTTCTCAAATAAAACATGTGAAAAGGAAAGTTGTCTAATCAATCAATACTAGTATTTAAAAGTTCAAATGTACACTAAAAGTCAGTGTAACTTAAGAAGTTATCAGTGTCACTTTCTTCAATATGTCGGTTAAACAATATACACTGATTTCTTTTCTATCAATGTGCCTCTAATCACCTGTATTTTAATTTAATTCTTCTCAAACGCTCAAAATAATAATCGACAAATTGGACTAATTCAAATATAAAAAGTATTTTCACAGCTAATAATACGTTCCCTAGGAATTGATCAAATTTTCAAAACTTAAAAATAAGCCTTAAGTATATATTTTTTGCTAATTGCCAAGATTTTTCATACCTCATTCTTCTGTGAATAATAATATCGGTTGATTTTTAGAAGAGGATCACATTGCCGATTACAATCCATTTTTTTTTCAAAATTAATTTTACTACTTTAAGTGCCTCATTATTTTTTAAGTAAGTGATTCCTTATGATCGTTTGTACATGTAATTAATTATCAAAGACGGAGTAAAGAATTAAACCCTGGGAGCAGAGCTTTTATAACTGTTTATTAGACAGAGAAGAAAAGAAAAGAAAACAAACGTTTCATTGTGGAGGTAATCCTATTGTTTCCATAAAAACGTTACAAAAAGTGTAAAATATACAGATGTATTCGGTATTTTTATAAAAACGTTTTTCAGGTATTACTTAACTTAATAAATGGTGTTTCTTAATACTTTGGCAAGGAAAATCAAACTCGATCGAGAGAGAGAATTTCTGATGTTTTTCCAGTCTGTAATAACCTTCAACATGCTGTATAATTAACCGTATCGTTCAACTTTCAAAAATAAACTAACAGTTGCTATAAATCGCGATCGCACGATGAAC